CTTTTCTTTTTGTTCTCCCCGCGGGGGGGGGGGGGGGGGGGGCAGGGCTCGGGCCGTTGTCATGCGAGACGAGTGAGTTACCACACAGAAAAATCGAGTGGTTATTATACTGCTGGGGTTTCGGGCGGGGGGGGGCGGGGTCCTTAGGTGGCGCGCTGTCACTGGGCGTCAAACAACTCTCGCACACAGCAACGGCAAGGTCAAATAACGTCGGGGTAAGCAATCAGCAAGATACACACACAGGCCAGCGGGTGGGTTGAAGAAGCCCCCTGCTCCTGCTGCTTCGATTTTTACAGCAACGACAACCCGTCTGGTCGAGCGGCGGCCGGCCACGACCTGCTGCTGAAAAACACAACAAGAACAACAGCAGCACAAAGCAGCGGAGCGCGGGGCCACCGCCACACACACCTCGCGTTTGGCAGCTTGGCCTGCAGCTCCACCACCGCTGCTCCTGCCTTAGTGGCAGCGCCGCCTCCGGCGGCGTAGAGGTTCTTGGCTCGATGGCACTCGTCCAACAAGATGCAGCCGTCGAAGTCCTGTCCGCCGCACCACTTGAGCAGCTGATCGGCCGCGCCGCGGAGGATAATATGGCAGAACGAAGAGCACAACAGCGGCGGGAAAAAACGACCATTTCAGCAGCCGCAACGACAACAATTAAGACAATACGACCAGCACCCCCAGCAGCAGCACCACCATCAGCACCACCACCAGTAGCAACAACAATAGTCCGCCGTGTGCCCGCTTCCCTCGCAAAAAATACTTCTTCCTATCAAAACCGCGAAGAGCACCACACCTGCTTCAGGCGAGACTTTCCATCCCGGTTGGCCGCGATCAGCGAGCTGTACGTCAGGAACATCACCCCGTCCCCGTCCCTGATCGTCCCGTAGGCGTGCTTGTTCTGCTGAAAGCTCTCGATGAACACGCCACCCCCCCCACCGCCGCTCCCCGCCTTCTCCTTCCCCCCGGCTTTCTTCTCTCCGCCGCTCTTCTTCTTCGGCTTCTCGCTGTTCTTGTTGCCAAGCTTCGCGTCGGCAGCCACAGCGGCTCCGCGCCGCACCCTCCCGGAAGATGACGACGGCACCTTACACTGCCGCCCCGCACCCCCCCCGCTCCTCTTCTTCTCCCCCTCCCCCTCCTCCACTTCCTCCTCCTCCTCCTCTTCCTCCTCCGATGATTCGTCCGAGTCGACTTCGTCCTCCTCCCCTTCCTCGCTGCTGTTGTCGTCGTCGTCTCCGTCCGGTTTTCCGCAGCCCAAGTCATCCAGGTCCCGGCGGGCGTCGAACGCTAGGTCATTGCCCACGCTGATCCAGACGTGCTTCCGCCTCCCGTGGAGAAAGTTCTCGAGCATGATACCCGCCAGCTGCCGGCCCTTGCCCACCTTCTCTCGCAGCGTCGGCAGCAGCACGAACAGCGGCAGCAACAGCAGTAGCGAGCGGCATAGAGGCATAGAACCACCACCACCAGCAGTAGCAGTAGCAGCAGCAGCAGCAGCAGATAAGCAGTGGGCGGCAAGATGGACACCATCAGATGGCCAAGTTACACGTTCGATCACGCGCACACCGCCGCGGCAGCTTGAAAGAAAAACACCTACTTGACGACGGTAGATTGGACGGTTACAAATGACAAGAGAAACAACAACGACAACAACAACGCGGTGTCTTACCCCCGCCCCGTCTCCGATGAAGAAGCCTGCGCGACTGCCGTCCGGGAGTCGAGTCTCGTGAGCCTGACACGCGTACGCGATGGCCTCCAGCTGCAGCGCCGAGAGCTTCCCCGACTTGACGACATCACTCTCTCCCTCTAGCTCCTGTGCCACCCCCCCCCACACACACACACACGCACCCCGGAAAGCAAAGGGTAACGCGTTGACTCACCTCATCACGACACATACACAAGACGTGACGCTACATCTTCATGGGGTGGGGGGTTCCAGTAGTAGGGCGTGCTGTGTGAAATAGCTAACGGGCGCGAATACGATTGAGAGCAACAGGGCGTGGTATGGTCCATGCAAGGCATGCGATTCGACCAAAATACTGCAGCAGAGACGTACTAGCAGAGACAATTTTCAACGAAGACAGAAACAACCAGAGTTCATACCATCAAAAAACACGTTCAGAGTCAATACCAGGATTTGTAAGGTGTTAGCTTTGCGCTTCTCCCCCCCCCCCCCCCCCCCCCCCCTAATATTTTGAAAAAAAAACCAAAAGGACCCAAGGCCCGGGAAAAAGGGCCCCCCCCACCAAAAAAAAAAAGAAAGCCCCCCCCCCCCCGCCCCCAAAGGA